GTGGAGGGAGGAGATAGGCGGGGAGCGACGGTAGAGACTTATGGTGTTCGCCATTGGTCTGCGCCAAATGATGATTACTCGGATAATGCGCTACGGCCGATTCTCATCATCATAACCATCATCGTCCAGATATATCCTCCGAGAGCGGCAGGTCGCGGCCAATCATCATCATCATCATCATCATCGTCATCATCATCATCATCGTGGTCTACCTTCCTCCGCATTCTCCTACTCCTACCAGTCATCATCATCATCGTTATAATCATCATTACCATTTTTCATGTCTTCCCCCTGCGTACAATGGTCTGTTGGTTAATTTAAGGGAAAAAAAAAATGTTTATCTCCCTCCTCTTTTCCGTCTTGAACGTAAATTGAAAGACCGTCGAAAAATCCTATCCATTCGTCTCTTGTCGTTCGCTCCCGTCGTTCTCCCCGATCTCTTCGTTCCTTCAGGATTAACGAACGAGAGCGGCTCGGGGTCGGCGAATTGCTTGAAAAAATTGGCCGCGTCGTATAACGCTGTCCGCGTCTCTGCAATGTAGGCGGCGTTTCTCGCAAGTGCATTGTGCGCTCGGGCGGGTATATAACAGTATGTGGGACGCCGAGTCTCTTACTCCGTGCAGCCAGCGCGGACTAATTGCCGGCTACGTAATTTAAACGTTGCGCGTGGAAACGAATGATGTACGAGTCGAATGATAAACAAATGACAGTGAGAGAAGGTGTGGGAATGAGAGTGAGAGAGAGAGAAATACAAAGGGACCTGGAACACGTGTCGGCTGACCTCATGGAGACACCGGTCGTCGACTATGTGCGTCAGCCGTTAGGATCGTAATTTTTATTATTATAGGTCGCGCAATTAAATCGACGCCCGAGTCTCGATTATCTTGGCCGTCGCGAATTACGTAACTTTGCTGTTTGGCCGAACAGGCGTGGCGCATCCTATCGGAATCGCATTAGCAGCGATATACGGTCTGCGTGTTTGTGTATGCGTTACCCGCTGTTCCTTTATGCACGCCGATGTTATTAATCCACGTTAAAAACGATGCCCGTCCATTATTACCCGTGCCAAAGATACGCCGTTGTGGATGCACCTTGATGCACTTGGCTGTCTTGCACGCAAGTTCAGTCGCCCGGTCGATCTGACCAGTCGAGATTTCGAACGCGGTTCAATCGCCCGGCTGCCGCGTCAACGCGACTTATTCTCGTCGATTATGTAACGCGGTCACGGGTTCCTTCGGTTGGTTTGGTACCCGTGCCCGGGATGATCGTTGGACGCGCGATCAAGCATAGGGGGAACAAAAAAGAGGATAGGAACGTTCTGGGGATTTTTGAATTTACATCGCGGACGATTGGTACGGGCGCATTGGTAAACGAGTGGGAGACACGTTTTGGAGAACTTGGGCGATCCAGTCCCGGCGGTGCAGACGACTTTTGTCACGTTCCGCATGTCTCGGGCGTTACTCTTTGAAAATGTTCTACCCAGAGATTTTCGTCACGTTGGCACATTTCCAAGCTGGCGACTTCTATTTTCAATACTCAATCCGTCGCTGAGAACGAGTAACTCGGCGACCGGCGATCGCGATACTCGTGCTCGTTATCGCTGACGATCTATACCTTTGAATTATCATCATTTACGGAGTTAGGAATCTGGTTTGTTCGTTTTCGATTTTGAGTTTTTTTGTTGTTGTTGTTGTTCTTTTATAAAAGAACAATTCATCCGGTAGTTACCGAAGCCGCTCTTAAGACTCGACGTATATCGATCGGTTGAACTGCTTCTTTTTGAGGATTCTTGTTTGTATTTTTTTTTTTTTTTCTTCTTTTTCGCGTTGATGGCAATTACCGTAGAGCAACGTTGCGGTACGTAATAATGGTTGTATTCGGGAGTCGAGCTACGAGGGGGTTATTAATATCGAACGTCTTACGCAACGTCCTTGGGACTGGGGAAGCTAGCTGTGAAAACGCGGCTTAATCGCATCTCTACAATATTTTCGAATCGGCGAAATACAATTCAAGGTCGGCCGCCACGAGTTGCCACTGTATGAAGATCCTCGTGGAAATTAGTACACCGGTTACAGCCGGAGTCCCGGAGACTGTCCTCAAGATAAAATTACTCCGCGTTCACGATCCGAGGTTCGTGTGTCATGGCTACGATTGGAAGAGACCGGGAAGTGGATTGAAAGGGAAAAAAGATTCGCCGTATACAACGTGAAGCTTCCTTTCGACAAAATTAATCACGCCTGATGATCTCGAGCAAATTTTCATTAATTCGCGCACCGAGAGTCTCGCGACAAATCAATCGGTAATAGCTGCTGTTCCGATACAAAGCTGTTGTTTATTATCACTGGATGTGGGCTGGGATATGTTCCTGGCTGGAGTGAATGGAAATCGGCCCAAGGGCCCGGCCAGGCTCAAGGAAATCCTCGAGAGACGCGACAACATCCTCAGCAAGTGGCGAGATGGTAGGAGTGCGTTTACGTATCCCCTTGAACCTTTGTAACTTCTCGTTATATGGCGTTACGTAGCAGTAATGAAGATCGAGTAGGTTCCATTTTGATTAATGCAACCCGAGTTGTACACGAGATCACTGAAATACAGGAAATTTCGTGAGGATTCGTTTAACGTGAAGTGGGAATTATTGCCGGAATATTTAATGGTACCAGCAGTTGAGATAATTGAAAATATTTTTTTTTTTCGTCGTTTAGAGCAACTTGAATGATTGGTTGGATCGTCGGAAAAAAAAAATTTATGTAATTGAGATTGTTGACGAGACAAAGAATTGTTGTGGATGCCTCTCGTCGTTCGAATTGGAACGAAAGATTTGTTGTTGTTTATTTTGTATATTTTTTTCAACATCAGGCGAAGATTTTAACGGATACTGTTGAGCGTATAATTAGTGTGGCTGAAAATATATTTAGGTCTATTTTCAACGGATGACATCAATGCCTGTATTACCTGTGGATGCTTGCCAATGTTTCCTTTACTGTATATCGCGCCAGAGAAACAACTCTCATTCAGATTCGTGGGTCCATAACCCGTGTCTGTGCCAATTCGGAGAGTTATCATGGTGATAAATTGTAAATGTATCGAATAAGGATACGATCGATCGCAGGTAACACGGTAGTCGACAGGCACCTTAATGACCAACTGAATTAAGTTGGCAGACGTTATCGCCGTCGGTAATGATGTAGTTGAGCAACCCGTTGATACGCGGCAGCACCTGCATTTCACCTGCGGCCATCCTTATCCACCGAGTAACCTCTCGGTTCATAAAACTTAAAATGTCATTTCGAGAACTTCTTGAAATGACACTGAGAGACAGTATTTGTCGCATTTTATATTTACGCGATCTCCTTTGTCTATACGTTACAAACCTCTAGTGCGCACTTAAGAATCCAAGTGTCTCACGCGTTGACAGAAATCAGTGAAACGTACTTATAAGTTGCGAAGAAAATCCAAGGGGGATTGTCATTTTCATGCAATCCAACATTCCCAGGTTCCCGTAAATGTCACGGGAGTCACCACCGACGCGAGATCAGTTCATAGTTCACAGTTCGCACACGTATCTGACAATTTATCCGACACTGAAACACACCAGTGACACAGTCCGTGTTTATTGCCCCGTCGCGAGATACGTGCTATGCAAATTTTCTTCGTCGTATCGTCAACATACCACCGTCGTCCTAGTTCTCGTAGTCCTAGTCTCCGAATCGACTTCGGTGATTTTTTATCCGTTATACCGGGTGCAGAGTTCACGAAAAAAGGTCAGGTCGCGTTATCGCCACGTGCCCGGAACCACCTTTGACACTCGTCGTGGAAATGTGAGAAAAATTAATTCTCTCTCTCTCTCCCTCTTTCTCTTTCAATCTTTTCACCTCTCAGGAGGAGCCGACCTACTTACCGGAATACTCTAGGCTCTCGGTCATGTCAGGTTAGTCACTATTTTCCATTCTCTACCCAGGCGAATCAGTGCCCTGGCGCATCCACGTATCTATAAGCGTACCTTGCATCCCATCGATGACGCGCATGCGTAACAAAAATTTGTTTTTCTCCGTCGCTCTCATTGCTTCTCCAGATATCTGTCTGTCCTCCGAAGATCAACTGCGCAATTCTTACGTCAATTTGAATTTCTAACACGACCTGACTTTTGGCCCTTAAACGTGAAGCGTCCTGCATCGCCGTGCTCGTTACGCATCTCTATTCTATTAATAGACTTATCTTTATAGGTGCACCAATAATTGCGTCATCCTTTTCACTACACTGACAGCTATAGCTTCATTGGTCTGTATGACGTTGTTTACTTTGACGCGGGATAACGAATCGGTATTTCTTGTTAGTTTTATCAAAGTTTGCCAAAAGTTGTAATTTTTTTTCCTTCCAAACTGTTCGTGCTCGTCTTCCCTCTGGGGACTTGAAATATTTCATCATCCAGACACACCGAAGGATCGAGTCCATACGGTGAATTCGATTGGTTCTAAGATTCGTTTCGTTTCACGGCCGTCAACGGCTGTCATTAGTTTTATTGACAGTGTCACGACAAGCGCCGACACTAACTAGACCGTAGAAAATTGTATTTCGACTTTTCACTCTTTTCACTCCGTCCAATCCCTTCGCAACCCTCGGCCATGAGACACGGCCATTAACCGTTGATCTCATATTGATCCAACCTACATTGATCGCCTTAACGATCCTCTCTCCCCTTTCTCTCTCTTTCTCTCTCTTTCTCTCTCTCTATACTTTAGTATCTCGTGCGAATACGGAGCTACGATTATTTACCGCTAGAACGTGGGTTAGGTCGGGTTACTTAGCCATGTGAAGGCTAACGAACCCCCATAAATAAAGAAATTGAACTGGGACAAGATCCATGGGTAAAGCAGCATCCATCCGGTGTACGCTCATGCAAGGATCATCGACGACGGTCGACTTTAATTCGCATTGAAATTTATTACAGATATATCATACATAAATACGTACGACATACGAAATTTAAGAAAGGCGAAAAAAAAAAATAATTTACAAAATGACACAGCGAAACATTTGTACAATTCTTTTAATGTTTCTCGCGGTACGCGCTTCACGGCACACCCTGTAGATAAAATACCCCGGTACGGTTCACGGGGAACAGTATTCTAATGGTACCACTCGACTCTCCCAGTAATTTAAATGTTCCCTCTCTCTCTCTCTCTCCCCCATACCTGCCATACCATACCGTACACCATAATGCCTAGGCTAACATGCAACCATCATACACGTGTGCGCTTAGTCTATAGTGACGAGCATTGATGTTGATAGTAATGGGACTGGATGCTGCGTGAATGTTGCAGAGGTGTGCAGCGGAGGGGAGCTGCCTGAAGTTGAAATAATCAGCCTGCTGGAAGAGCAGATACCGAGGTACCGTCTACGTGCTGACACCCTCACGCAGTTTCAAGGTAAAGGCTCTCTTACACTGGTCATGGTCAATCTTTCTTTTTTTCTTTTCCTTTATTTTTATCTCTTTACCCTGGTACATATTTTCCACGTGGTTGGCACGCCTGCCCATTCATCCCTGAGGTCTCGCTGAAACGGCCTCGTCAAAATCCTTTCGGAAGCAGTTTGCATTTCGGTTCTAAGCCAGTACGGTTGGCTCTTAACGTGCGAAGGTTAAGTTCAGTATCGTCTTTTTTGTTTCAATTGTATATATATATATATATATATATACAGTACATAGTACGGCGTAACCGGAGATACTGAATTTCGCACGATCAGTGGGGGTCCCTGTGATTTCGATGTACCGATCGGGCTAATTTTGTGAAATCGACGATGATTTGGGGTTTTTGAATTTTTATTTTTCTCACCGCTTTCAATTCGTGCGTCATGCGAAGCTTCCGAAGGGAGCGTGTAGGTTAGGTTTCACGTGTCGAATTATGGTGCACCGTGTCGCGCGTGCTATTTCATACGGCGGACACACCTCGGCGCGCCTGTCGACTAATTGAATGTCGTTCAGTTTAATTTCCTGCGTGCAGCCCTCCTTATTAATCGTGCCCACTTGTTCGGATGCTTGTGAGACTTCTGTTCGGTACCCTAAGCGCAGCTGACTTTCCTTTTCACCGCGGTGCCTGTTTTATTTTCTCTTGCAGGATACGAGAACGCCGATTGGTTCATACCGGCACCGGCCCTCAAACCGGAAGACGTCGATTTGAAGCTGTCGCCGGACCAGATACGGGAGACCCTTAACTACTTCAGTGAGTCATTCTTCGTTCACGCTATTAAATTATTAACACGCGACGCACGCACGTCGCGAGATTCCTGTAATTTTAACTATACTGCTTTATATCGCTGAGTCGCCAGGTAAGTCGTGGAGGCTGGACTACGTAAATTATTCTTTGGCATTGAACTACCGTTATGTCGTACGGGGAGATGATATTTCGATGGTTGGACTCGATGGATTACAATTGCAGGCTCCTGCGCATGCGCGCATTAACCGCGGCTAGGAAAGCATTCGAAATAATGACTGCGTACCCTCGGTGCGCGCGGACAATGGTCTTTCATAGAAACTCACCGTGAAATTCTTCCATAACCCACGTCCAAATCATAGAGATATTCTCTAATCGCACGGACTTAGAAACTCGTCGGGCCGTGCCCGATTTTACCGCGACTTTCCATGCAATTTTCCACATACGTCATGCGATGCGTGCGACGACCCAACAAGGCCAACAGATGCGTATCAAGTCGTTCGCATCGCGTGAATCAGGCCGATGCCATTCGTCCTGTCATTGATAAAAGTTGGCCGAACTCTCGGCCCCCGACGTGTTTCGATATTATTTATATCCATCGGAACGCTCGGGGAGTCTCTCGGCCGGTAAGGTAGTTTAAATTTCCGAGGTTGCGCAACGTCCGAGCGACTTGCATATATTCACGCGGGCTAACCGGTGCGCTAAATACACGGAGTGTTTACTCGAAAGCTGTTATACCGCTAAATGATGTATGTATATTGCGAATGCCTTCGAAATGTTGCAAATAATTTTTACAGTTCTTCAGACGCCTATTGTACCGTTGCTGTATATTTTTTGGGGAAATTTTTTTTTCTTTTACTAGGCCACATTTTTTTTTATTACGTCAATCTTAACTTATCCGAAACGCCGTGGCTGTGACTGATCGCGACTCTGGACGTCGAGGGATTATCGGTTAACCTATGAAATCGAATATCCGTCGAGTGGAGTTTTGCGATTAAGTTATCTGCACTTATCGACGTGACTTTCGTTGTTGTTTTTCTCAATTCGTTCTTCACACACTTACCGTCCGCTACGTGTGGAAATAACTGTGTATCGGTTTAAAAAAAAAAAAAAAATTTTGCAAAATAATTTGCTCTCGTAAATTAATTAAGGATATCGTCAGCCAAGATTATCACTAGCTGCAGATGGAATCGATTGTCGAAAATCAATATTATTAATTATCTGGGCGAACGTGTCACGTATATTTTTTTTTACGATAAGAACGCGAGCTGATCGGCCATTATTTTGGCGCAGTTAATTAGACACGTTTCCGATAATAATCGGTGACCTCAAAATTCCTTTCATCCGAATGCACGGACGACACCAAGGACTCCGAAGCTTCGCGAAATCTAGAGTGTCTTATCGACAAACGATAATACCGCCAACCTGTCGTCAAGTTTATCCGCTGTGAAATTCATATAGATTATGTTTCCTGCCGTTAATCTCGCGACTAACAATAATACTCTCGGCGAATTTCGTATTGAAAAACGAGCTCAGCAGAGCTAAGCTTTGTTTGGCGTAATCGTCGACACACGTGCACGAAGGAGTTGTGAAAAAAAATTTCTAATATAATTTCAGACGGTTGCCCAGCACTTAAAAGACATGCTATAATGAGTAAACACGCGTGCCAACAATCTATTTCGAAAGAGAGAAATTTCCAATCCATATTAGCAGATATCGACTATTGTTTCAAGACGGTCACTGACCAGCATCTCGTCTTTCTTTTAGCAGCCGACTCGAGCGCCATCTACCTTAACAGTCTATTTGCTAATTGGCTCACAGGAGAACATGAGGATTCCTCTCTGCCTGTTCTCCTTTTTTTTTCTCCTCTCCAGCACTTCCCATTTGATAAAGCATATCGTTCCGCCCGACCTATAGACGGACCCCAACATCCGCCTATTTATTAGCCACACTATAAAATTTCCATATTTCACGCTCTACGCGCTCTATTTCCGCATATTGGATATCCCTTCTGTACAAACTCTCGAGTCATCTTCTTGCGCGAGATTCAGCTGGTTACGTATCTCGTAGGTACTGTATCGAGGAACAAGAAGAAATCTATATTGGCGTAACAGCGTTACCCGGTATTTGGTAATGAAAATTTTTATTTACTCTTGCTCTCCTCTTTTTCTTTGGTATCCGATCATTTTTATGCGATTCGTTCGAAGATCCTTCGTCGACGGTTCCTACCGTCTCCTGGTATTCTGGACCCGTTAAACAGTTTGCTCAGGGAAATGAACTCGAGTGTAACGAGTTCTTATATTGAGAGGCGCGCTTTTCTTTCTTACGTCTTTGATCTTCACATAGTGCACTTGACACTGGCTCTTCGCTTATAGACAGTTTTATTTTTTTTTTTTTTTTTTTTTTTTTTTTTTTTTTTTTTTTTTTTTATAAGACATTTTGTATACCCATCATGCACGCTTTGCAATTTGTCAAAGCTCACCGTAAAGAATACTTTTTACGTTGTAAAACATATCGTGACTAATGATATCACCGTAGAACGATCGTCAGAGTGTTGATCGTGGCTGATACTTGTGTTATTGATACAAAAATATCAGGTATTGCTTCTTATCGGGATCTTGGTTTTTTTTCTGGATCTATAGCTCGTTTCCTATTTAAAAATTGTATATATAACGTGCATTGTTCAACTGTGTGCATGTCGATCGATATCGGTATTAATACAGAATAAAGGTAAGTTCAGAGGAAAATGATTGCGCATAATCCAATCGCCTTAATCCTTTTGCCCGTATCGTCTTATCTTATTTGATTAGCGAATCGAACATTCCGAGTCGCTAAATGTCATCTTGTCGATTGGAAAAACCGATGCTTACGAACCTTATAAAGTCTTGTAAATTTCTCCGTCAGCTCGTGCGAGCAAAGGTCGTCGATTTGCTCGTGTCTTGTAATTGCCAAATGTATCAGGGAACGAGGGCAGCTTCCTCGTGTATCGATTAATTAAATGTTTTCTCTTTAAGTGCAAAAGCACTCGACTTGTCCGTTTGGTAAAAAGAAAGGGAGACAGTGCCCGGACAAGTTCAGAGAAAGCTTTCGCTGTTTTACATCAGTCACTGACAATAAGATCGTATGACTTTTATTCTCGCTTTCGTTATGTCGAGCGAGTAAAAATTGTTTTGGACCGTGTAAGATTTTTCTTTCTTCGTAATTATCCTGACCCGAAAAACTCCATTTAATGCCTGTATTTAAAAACGAATGGCGCACGACTACTTCTACCATCTACGATTGTTCCATTACACAATGGCTATTCTTCTCTTGTAATTTCCCATAATAAGTTGCTTCGAGCCATTGTCAGAGAGAGCGAGACAGGGTTAATTTCTTCGCTAAGCACGGATTTGCATAGGGGCATAATAGTGAAATCAAATAATTTCTCATTTACACCTCGTTCGCACAGGCTCTCTTCGTGGGTTGCGCATACCGCGTGTATATCCGTACCGTCTAAGAAAAACAAATGTTCGTACAAAAAACTTGTTGGCGCTCGAGGCGAGACGCGAAAACTCTTCCCGAGGATCCTTAAGGAGGCCTCGGTGCCGTCTAATTTTAGCGAGAAAGCCAGATAAGCTGTCTAGAATGAAAAACGAGTTGGCATCCGGCTTTAGCAGAATGCCTTTAGGCTCGTTTTCATCGACATGATGTAGATAAAGCGATTCGGATATTACCTGCACTCCATTTAACGTGTAATTTTCGTACAGTCAATCTAAAACAAGCTTGGAATTCCCACGTTAGCATTTACTTGAATATTTCTTACGACAATAATATATCCGTCTGGTTATTTCGTACCATATGACGCAGGCATCTATAATCATAACCCATGTTGCATGTTACCTGCTATTTGCAAAGCTCTTGAGAAAACTGACAACGTCTCGTGTACACAATTAACTCTCAATTTACATTCCGTCACAATTTTATACTTGTCAGTTACGCAGCACATCCTCCCGTGCGTACGCAATAAATCATCGAAAAATGGCATTTTCGTGAGAGATTCATTGTATCTTGTAACACGGCTAATGATAATAAACAAACATCAACTCGTGTAAACGATAGCGTATCGATTAAGTAGACAATAATCCGTACTTTCAGATGCTAACAGTTAATACCTCTATCTCTGTATTTAGAATTGTACGTGCCTTTATTGGTCGCTACGCAAACGCACGTGACAGACGCCGGTTCCTTTAGCTATACGTATACATATCTATATGTATACCGGTTCGCTGTCGACGGTAGCCTCCAGTCGAAGATACCCGAAAATAGCCGGAAGCACCCGAAAGTTCACTCACTCGCTCGAGCATACACGCGTGAGGATTCTCTTGATTCCCGTCGAAAATAACCGAACACGCTCGAACTGTTCCGAACGCTCGCACTCACACGGGCTCGGCCAATCGGCTACTATTCTTCTTACCACCGCACCCATCATCGTTGCATAGCTCTGCGCTATCGCTCAGTCACGTTCATTCCGTCCGCGGCGAGTCACTGTCACATTCCATCGCTCCTTGAAAAAAGAAACCGGCAGTTTATCATTGTACTTCCTTGCACAGTGAGTGAGTGTTGTACGGAGTTATGCGGATATCGTCCCGTCATTCGTCAATTACAGTTTATTTAACGAAAAGTGTCTTCTCATTCATTTCATTGGTTCAAACACGTTCTAACGTCCGAATTCTACGGGAAATTCCGATTACAGTTATCTGGAATAAAATCTTGCCAGTGAGTCGAGCAGGGTAGTGGTGCTTTGTTAGGTTATGTTGGATCAGGTCAAAGATCAGGACATGCTATACCTCCTATCCTTCGACAATATATTTATAAATATCCTTCTAGCCGGCCGATACAGTCTAATGACACTCGTTCCTCTTAAGTTCCAATGAAATTGTACGTTACTATTATGTAAGATCGTAAGCCATATGTCCGAGCGTGTGACGGTATTGATAATTCTCCTTGGTTTTCTTCTATGTTTATCTTCGGTTGATATATATACGTATACATAATGGCGGAGGCTACAGTTTATTTGAATAGTGATTGTTACATTGTTTTGCGTGTCTACATGATTGTTATTGGTGACCCATTGTCTGAGACTGATTAAATTATCTACGGATTCCTTTTCGCAGTGCTGTTAGGATCGTTTACTCATCAATTAATTCACAGTGTAATTGCTCTTCCGCGCTTGAAAATTTCTCACGAGAGATGCAGTGCGGTTAAATTGCCGTGGAAAAAAAGAAACGTATCAGGAACAAGATGTAGCGTGGTGCACTTAGATTATTCGTTAAGTAATAGGCGTTCGTTACCTACGTAGCTGTGTAACCGGTCCGTTAATCGTCGCAGGATCATATCTAATTATTCACTCGGTCATTGACTGGTGCGTATAATATAATGGCTGCGGCTGCTATAACGTAGTTACTGATTTACCTGTAGTAACAGTACTTCGCAAATTATGCCGGGATAAATATCGTGAAAGCTTTTCACGCACTCTTTCGTCCGTGCCCGTACTCGGTAACGTCCTATGCAACGACTTCCTATCTTCGATCACTGTAATAAGGCACTCGTCATTTTTACAGTATATTGACTGTTACATGGTCATTGAAACGGGCAGCCATTGAGACAGCGTCAATCATTGTTATAATAATTTCACTCGGTACCAGAAGGAACTACCGAACAAGCTCGACCGGAAAGCCTCTGCTTAGGAAACTATTGATAAAATCGATTTCGAGGTTAGTCATTGTAAAAGCGTTACTGCTAATATTCATACGTGGCTTCTAACGCGTGATTAACTTGTTGATTTTCGCATTAGTAACTCTGCGATAAATTCACGCAACGAGTCAGAAAGTCTGTTACGGGCAATTCCACAAAATCAATCGGGAACTATGTTGATAGGCTTTTTTTTTTAAATCTGCTCTGCGCCTGCGACTGCGCACGTCCAGTATCACGGTTGCAATAGTAAATCGCAAGGACACCCGATCCGCAATGGGCGACTGTTCTCTCCTTTCGGTTGGGTGACTTGAGTAATCGCGAATTAGAAATGTAGATCAGACACGTCCTCATGCAGGCTACGTAACGCTTGTACGTATGTTGCGTGCCGCATTAATTTTATATTGGTCGCGTGCGCGTACGATGCCTTGAATTAGAGTTTCGTGGAAGCTCGGCTTAAGGTCTGGGTTAAGGCTCTGTCCGCCCAATGGTATTTTATTAGCGGTTACAGATACAGGACAAATCTTTGAGTCCGGACTTCCAACGGACTTGGCGAGGTCACGCGGTCATTTTTAAAGGACCTCGCGAATTCTGGCCTTTTTCTGTTGTCGCAATTCTGACGTCACAGCCCGGCTCTTTTTATTAAAACAAGAGACAGGGTTAACGATTATTGTTTACTGCGACACTGTTTCATCTGGTGATCCTAAAGGACGTTATTTATCTTTAATACGGCGTATTGGCTCTTATCGTAATTTACAGCGCGCCTCGATTCGTCGAGGTGTCACGTGGGCCCGTGGTAGCCCGCGATATTTGAAATTGTCATTCGTACGACCGTGTGAAAAATTCAAGTCACTTCTAAACGGCTGTTTCGGCGTTTTTCTTCTTCTTTTTCTTTGTCCTTTTCTTTTTCATACGTCGTTTTTCTTTTTTTTTCCCTTCGAAATTATTTAAACGTGACAGTTCAGTTGGCACCGATACACAGTATTCTTCGCTCCAATAATTCCAACCAATTAGCGGTACCCATTTTTTTCAACGAGCTCAGACCCTGTTAATTATCGATAGACAATTAACCCCACGACGCAATTTTGATCCTTACTTATCGACAGAGACAGTTACCTCTTACGCAAGAAGCGTCCAATCCCCGAGTATCTCTATACGAGTTTAAAATTATCCCGGCATTCCCAAATGGATCAGTAACACTTCCTGTGCGAACGTGACTTTATCACGTGTTTATGTCCACGCTAAACCAGACAGTTCAGCGCTCCTGTCGTAGAGGAACCATTTTTTTCTTTCTAGTAACAGATTCAAATAATTACTGTCAAATTGCTATACCGTTAATTCGCTACAACAGCTGTAACATCTGCAAGTGTATAAATGCACAACTTCACACTGTAGAATAACGAACTATTAATTTCCGTGAATATTTGTATGTTTGTCTAAAAAAAAATTGTTTCTTCAATTGGCAGCCTTGTTACTCGATTGTTAGGTTCTCTCTTTTTTTACGTCACTCCAAAATCCTTCCGGAATGTCTCGTTTCCTTTTTTTCTTTCTTTGAACTCTTTCACCGTAACCTGACCTAACAGTAAAGACGCTCTCGAGATAATGGCCCGAACGGATTCGCACGTATTCACAGGGTGAGTGCGAAGGAGGTTGGAAAATAAAAAAATCGTCTCCCGGCGCAGCGACGAGAGTTCGTCGACCGCTTCTGCAATCGCCGACTGCCGCGCGCCGGATAATTCGCGTTTCTCTGCCCGGAGAAATCATCTGTTACGCTTTGGTTTCGTCGCCCACTTGCTAATTCGCCTTGAAGTCCACCCGGCAAACCGGAGCGGACCTTCGAGCCATCCTGAATCGCGCGACTCGTTCACAAGGGATAAGACGCTAAGGAGATACTGTTAGCCTTACTGTTAATCCTTTAAATAATGAACATTAACATCCGTGACACTAACTCGTGCGACAAGTCAATCCTGTTTAAGGGATTCTCCAAAGCGTAGCGGACTCTTCTTCAAGTCCGACGCCGAGAGCCTCGATTCCGTGCATCGTCTTCTCGTCCTGTGCAAGCATTCGAATTCACGAGGTATCCTCAAAGAGTAGGTTATCTGGACGTTGTCAGTGTTTTTGTTATCTTTAATCAATCCAATTCCACACGGGGCGGTACGATCCTTCTCTAACGGATCGCCTTCGGTGGTGAAAGTGATTTGTTCCGCAACTGGGCCAATAATTGTAATCCGTTAGTACAATTGTGAAGGGGAACGCGGGTCAGGCGAAGAGTAGTCAGTACTCTCGACGGGTTAATTTGTAGATCGCTGTTATAGGACGAAGTCATCACGAAGTTGGTATAGTTGCTTTGATCTAGTTTAATATATTTTGCGCGTCAAGGGTCACTAGGGGCAGGGTCAATGCTTTAAGGACGCTGGAGGTTTGGCATTCGTCAGGTATGATTTACCCATCGGATTTCCTCAACGTTATTTTGAAGCTTTACGGGCTTTGAAGTATTTTCGTGGGGCAACCAGCTCGTGCGACAGTGGGGATGGACGAGGGCCGCGGACCGGGTGACGATTTCTGTGTAAAAAGGTGAGCCGATATAAATAAGCTTGAGTTCTAGGAAGATTGCGTGACTAAGCTTATGCGTTACTTCATCGTTGGCGAGGTAGTTTGGTAACTCGTTGTTTTAGTCGCGGATCTGGACGGTAGGTCGTAGGATTTTTCGTACGCCGTGAATCTTATTCGCGCGCGCGCGCGCGCGCTTTCTCGCTGGTGACTCTCGTCATTATCATTAATCACGGTACCTCGATGTCCGTTGGCAATTTTCTGTATTACCTTTTGTTTAATCGGAAAATCCAATTCGATCGATATTTGGGACGATATCCGTAGCTCTGAATGACTTCCAGGAAGTCGGCTCGAGAGAAAGCGCTTCTTTCTCTCGGCTTACTTCTTTGTATTATCAAATAAAACATTATTATAAAGTATTTTCTTTCGGATTCACTTAGAGTGTGGAGTTACCAACACGAATGGTGTCGAAGCGTAACTGTCGTGGCCTGATTGGCAATTGTTAAAATCTCCAAGAGTGGTGTGGACCATCGTTGTCTTTCTGCGATCGGTGAACTCGTTGATGAAAGAAAAAAACAAAGAAGTCACCGGCAGAGCTTCCATTATTCATTTTGATAATAGAGGCTCTCTATCAGGGCCGTGAATAAGTATACAAGTGAGCGGTGGTACAGTCTGATATTCATGGACTGATATTTAAGAGTGACCGGAGACCGGAAGACTCATTTGAATTTCGAAAAGTCCCTGTCCGGTCAGGGACTAACGAAATTCACGCTGTATTCCTTGGTGTGTTGATCGGCTGAGAAAACAGTGTAACGTCCGAAGCCAATACGAATATATATTGAATTTACGAAAAAAAAAAAAAAAAAAAAAAAAAAAAAAAAAA